ACACTTCGAAATAAAAGAGATCCTTGACTCTAGGAGATATCGTGGAACAACTCAGTACCTAGTTGCCTGGAAACACCTCCCTGCCTCACAAAATGAGTGGGTCCATAAACGTCACGTCAGAGCCCCGAAGCTATTGAAGAAGTTTCACACAGAGTATCCTAACAAGCCTAACTAAATTTTTTACTTGTGTTTTCTTTCAGGTGGATCTCTCTTATTGTTAAGAGGGGCCGGATGTCAGAATCCAATTATATTTCATCTTTAATTATCAAACATAGAAACTCCCAATTCTGCCTTCTCTGGATTCTGCCATAAGAGGGAGAAAAGGGGGAGAGCAAAGGGGCTTTATGGCCCTCACTTCCTTCAGCACACTTCAAAGGACTGAATGTGTGTTTATTGTGGCCTCTAAGCTTTAACATATCAAAGAAGAGTAATTGCCTTTCATGTAGTTATCTGAAGTCTCCATCCAGACGGAAGAAGAAAGGGGATGGAATTGTGATACTTGAAACTATCACTGGAAGGGGGGTTGATTGGGTGGGACTACTGGGGAACCCCTTAAAACCTTGAATGGGAGAGCTTGAACCCCAAGTCCTGTCTAGCATGCCTGCAACCATTTTCTCTTAATAAAGGATTCCTGTTGGAAGAATTATTCCAGAGAGTTCTGTCTTCTTAAGATGCAAAGTGGGGACGTGCAGTGCCTGGAGATAGCAGAATAGAAGAGAAAGAACTGGAGAAGATAACAAAATACAAAGACCTACAAATAGAAATAGAAAGACTGTGGCAAAAGCAAGCAAGGGTAGTACCAATAGTCATAGGCTCCTTGGGTGCAATCCCAAAACAACTGGAGCACCACTTGAACACCATTGGCATTGACAAATTTGCTATTAGTCAATTGCAAAAGGCGGCCTTACTAGGAACTGCTTCCATCCTGCGACGATACCTGTAATACCATCAAACATCCACATCTGCCTATCCCAGGTCCTGGGTAAGGACTCGATAGGTAGACAAAATGCCAAATCCAGTCTGAACATCTGGCTGACTGTGCGATGATTGATAATAATAATAATGATGATGATGATGATGATGGTGGTGGTGGTGGTGATGGTGGTGGTGGTCATCTAGTCCAACCCCCTGCTCAGGCAGGACAACCTATACCAGTGATGGCGAACCTTTTACAGACCGAGTGCCCAAACTGCAACCCAAAACCCACTGATGTATCACTGGGTGCCAGGTGGGCGTGGCCCATTGGGTGGGCGTGGCTGCGGTGGTAACGGCAGACTGGGTGGGGCTAAAAAGTTCAATCAATCAATTCTAACTTAGTGAGATCTTTTTTTTCCCCGCGAGAAGTTGAAATTGATTGATTGATTGAACCTTTTTTTTTTTTTTTTGCACACGGGAGGTTTTATAAAAGGTTTTATAAACCCCAGCTGAAGGCCTAGGACTGGGGCAACGGCACGCGTGCCCAATGAGAGGGCTCTGAGTGCCACCTGTGGCACGCATGCCATAGGTTCGCCACCACAGCCCTATACCATTTTTGGACAAATGGCTGTCCAGTCTCTTCTTAAAGATTTCCAGTGTTGGAGCATTCACCGTTTCTGGAGGCAGGTTGTTCCACTGGTTAGTTGTTCTAACAGTCAGGAATTCTCCTTAGTTCCAGGTTGCTTCTCTCCTTGATTAGTTTCCATCCATTGCTTCTTGTCTTGCCTTCAGGTGCTTTGGAGAACAGCTTGACTGCCTCTTCTTTGGGGCAGCCCCTGAGATATTGGAACACTGCTATCCTGTCCCCCCTCGTCCTTCTCTTCGTTAAACTGGACATACCCAATTCCAGCAACTGTTCCTTATATGTTTTAGCCTCCAGTCCCCTGATCATCTTTGTTGCTCTTCTCTGCACTCTTTCGAGAATGAGGGACTCCAGCATGGTGGAGGAGACCTGTTCAGCACCTGAGGTCTTGGACTCTGGAACTGACCGGGGCAATGCAGACCACCTCTGAACCCACAGAGGGTCCAGGATGTGGGAAGAATTTATAAATTATATAACTGTGTTAGAAATATTGTATATGGCAGGGCTTTTCAACCAGTGCTACGGGTACCACCTGTGGTCCATTGGCACCTGGCAGGTGATACGCGACCATCCTAGAAAAGGGGTAGCGGGGGAGGGGAATGAGCTGAACCGATGACAGCACTGCACATGCCTGAGCGAGAGACGGCTGGAGCTGCAGGGCTCAGCGGAAGCGCCAGGATCAGTGCCGCTTTCCAGCTGATCGGCGCTTCTTTGGGGCTGTCAGGGCTCAATGGAAGCGCCAGGATCAGCGCCAGGCTCCAGCTGGAAAGCAGCACTGATCCTGGTGCTTTTGCTGAGCCCAGAAGAAGCACCAATCAGCTGGAAAGCAGCACTGATCCTGGCGCTTCTGCTGAGTCCAGAAGAAGCGCCGATCAGCTGGAACGTTGCAGCCTCTCCAGGGTCTTGTGATTGACATTCAGATGCTTGGCAACTGATTCATATTTATGACAGTCACAGTCTCCCAGGGTCACGTGAAGTGACCAAAACCTGCTGCAACCACCCAGCAGATGGGGGGAATAAAAACCAAACACCCCCCACCCCACCCCCATTGCCAATCCTCAACAGAAATGCTCACAACAATGAAAACCTAAGACAGGAGGAAGAGCACCGCCAGGTGGGCAGGCAGGTGTCTTGCTCGGCTGTGGCTTGGGGGGCACTTTTTTCAGGGCCATTGTAACTTCGAACAGTCATTAAGCGAACTGTTGTAAGTCGAGGACTACCTGTACTTTATCACTTTTTTCCCTTTTCTTTTTTTTGGTCATCAAGTTTTTGACACCTTGCTAGGCGACTGGTGGTATTCGGATATTGCCATATCCTAAAAGTGGTACAATGGGTGAAAAGGTTGAAAAGCCCTGCACTACCGGGCCATGGTGTAGGGAATCATAAGTTTGCCAACGTAGGTCTCCAACAAAGTTACTGTTGAACAGCCTCCAAAATCCTTTTGAACTTACAGCAAATGTAAATAATTGTTGAACACTTATTTCAAATTATAAATACCCGCAAGCAAGCACAGAAAAATTAAATGAACACAATGGGAAGATAATTATAACACAGTTCAAAGGAAGAGACTTAATTCACATCTTTTGACTTAATTAATCGGAGGTGGGGCATCAACACATACATACATCTATGCCCCTTAAGTGTCACCCTAGAACAGGGGTAGGCAACCTCGGCTCTTTTATGACTTGTGGACTTCAACTCCCAGAATTCCTGAGCCAGGGTGGGGGAAACTATGGCCCCTTCATGACTGGTGGACTTCAACTCCCAGAATTCCTGAGCCAGCATGGGGGAACTATGGCCCCTTCATGACTCGTGGATTTCAACTCCCAGAATTCCTGAGCCAGCCATGCTGAGGGGAAAGGGAGAGGTTTCCAAGCTGTGCCATGCTGGCTCAGGAATTCTGGGAGTTGAAGTCCTTGAGTCATAAAAGAGCAAAGGTTGCCTACCCCTGCCCTAGTACCAGTTCGTACACACACTCACACCCCGCAAGATTCACACCAAGGACAGGCTCCCCTATAAAGCAGCCCTTTTGTATCCCATCTTCTCTGTAGCTACCCCCACAGGCAAGCAAGCCTCTTTGCTTTTGGCAATAAAGAAATACATCTCTTTTCCTCACATCTGTCTGGATTTCATTTTGATTTGTTCTTGTGCAATCCCGGCTTGAGTTGGAACCCCAAATTATTCTCCTCTGAGGAACTTCACGACGTTTTCCCAGCCGTCTTCCTTACAAAAAGTCTCACTCAAAGGACATTTGGTGGGTTTGCAGAGGTGGGCAAAGTCAGCAATCTGCAGAAAGACTGGCTGGCTTTATTTCCTGATTTGGCACACCTCTGCAGTCCCAATCAGCCGGCTTTTGCGCCTAAGGTCAGACTGGAACTCTCCATCTCCTGGTGATTGGCCCAAAATCACCCAGGCAGTTTTCACACCTAAGGCAGGACTAGAATTCACCATCTCCTGGTGATTGGCCCAAAGTCACCCAGCTGGCTTTCATGCCTAAGGCGGGACTAGAATTCACCGTCTCCTAGTGATTGGCTCAAAGTCACCCAGCTGGCTTTCATGCCTAAGGCGGGACTAGAATTCACCGTCTCCTAGTGATTGGCTCAAAGTCACCCAGCTGGCTTTCATGCCTAAGGCGGGACTAGAATTCACCGTCTCCTAGTGATTGGCCCAAAGTCACCCAGCTGGCTTTCATGCCTAAGGCGGGACTAGAATTCACCATCTCCTGGTGATTGGCCCAAAGTCACCCAGCTGGCTTTCATGCCTAAGGCGGGACTAGAATTCACCGTCTCCTGGTGATTGGCCCAAAGTCACCCAGCTGGCTTTCATGCCTAAGGCGGGACTAGAATTCACCGTCTCCTGGTGAATTGGCCAAAGTCACCCAGCTGGCTTTTATGTCTAAGGCAGGACTAGAACTCACCAGCTCCTGGTGATTGGCCAAATGTCACCCAGTCGGCATCCATGCCTAAGGCGGGACTAGAATTCACCCTCTCCCTGGCCACGCCCCCGTTCCTTCTGCAGACTCGGCTGCCTCTTAGCTGACTGTGGCCTAGTCTGTGGCCCTGACCCGTCTCCCAAGGCCCTTACAGGCAGAGTTTTTCTTTCTTGGCAAAACCACGAGATCCTTGCACGGTTTCCTCCCCACATTTCCTACAAAATCTGAACTTCAGCCGCGATCGGTGAGCTTCTGCCCTGGACACTCACAGCACATTCTTCAGCCTCTGCCAGGGGCTGGCCTCTTCCTTTCTCTGGGGATTGTGGTAATGTGTATTGGATTGTGTACACCCCTGTTGTCGCAGACATTTCTCCAATTTGCCCCCCCTCCCCATCCTATTGTGGGAACCCGGAGACGTTCCCAATGAGGCTCTGGTCAGTTGGGAGCCAAACTCCGGTGCCCCCGCCGAGGTCCCAGAGCAGCCGGGTGCGAATCCTGGCGAACACTTACCTGTAAGAGTAGATGGGCTTTGGAAAGAGGGGTGGTGGTGGTGGCTGTGGAGGTCCTGGCAGCCCCATCCTCTGGTAGGGGTGGTGGGGAGCCGAGAGGAAGGGGAGCGGAAGGGCGTTGCTGGCGAGATACTGAAAGCAGAAGAAGAGGAGAAATGCAGCTGGGCTTGCTTTCTCGGTCAGATTTTATGGTCAGTCTTTTTAAGGGCAAGGAACTAAAAAATGTGGAAAGTCCATCTTGGATTCTCAAAGCCCGCCAAGAAACGGGCTGAAAGCCACAGAGTGTAATTTGCAATAGTGGCGAATATCAGAGTGAAATTTCATTTAAAAGGCAAATGCAAAGTTCTTCCCTGAGGAAATGATACTTAATTGCATAATTCTAGGATAGGAGATTGAGGGATTGATGGGTGGATGGATGGGTGGATGGGTTATGCTCTGTGCCTTCAAGTCTGTCAACCTATAGAACAGTGTTTCTCAACCTTGACCAGTTTAAGGCATGAGGACTTCAACTCCCAGAATTCCACAGCCAGCATTGCTGGCTGTGGAATTCTGGGAGTTGAAGTCCACATGCCTTAAACTGGTCAAGGTTGGGAAACACTGCTATAGATGGCACAGAATACAGATGGCTGCAACAGCAGAACCCTGCTTCCAAATCCGTGGACAGGAATCACCTTGGTGGGAAAAGATGGAAGGAGAGAGAGGATGACCAGCTGGAGGAGGAGGGATATTCAGAGACAGTAGCGATGGGGACATCGTTGCCCCCCCAAAAATAGTCCAGTTTAGGAGCCGATTGCCATGGAGAAAAAACTATGGGGTCACTAAGAGCCAACACAGACTTGATGACCCATCTTCAAACAAACGGACATTTTGCAATAATTGGCAGATTGCAATTGTCAGTGTAGGCGTCAGCTGTGAACACAACTCCAGGCTGCTACAAGCCAAACGTTTGTGGCAATGTGGGAAAGAGAGGAAGGGAAGCAACGGGCTTCGAGGGGCCAGGTCTAAAAGGGAATGGCATCCCCCACGGAGGGTCAACCCCTCGGATGCTGCTGCCGTTCCACTTTGCAGTCAAGTCCCTCCTCCAGCGGCCCCATCCAGACCATCGGAGTGGCTTCTGCCATGTTGGAGCCCAGCTGCCTGCTTAAGTTGGGGGACGGGATGTCCAGCCCTGGTGCCCCACATCAGCTAGAACCTACGTGGGCGGGGGGGGGAACTCATTTTCTCAAGGGGCCACGTGAGAAACTGGAGCCGTCGTGGAGGGCCGAACTAACATGGCCTGTGAAGACGATATGCAGACATGCACGCACATCCGCACATCGAGAAAAAAAACGCAGTCGCCTTCAAACTACACAGTCCTCTGATTACAATAGTTCATAAAAGGAGATAAAACTCAATGTATTACTTAGCAGCAGAAATTTTGGGCTCAGTTGTCAAGTCAAGCTGTCCTCAACTTGCAACAGTTAATTTAGTGACCGTTCGAAGCTACAAAAGCACTGAAAAAAGGGACATATGATCATTTTTACACTTATGACCGTTGTAGCCTTTTGACGTGTTCAAAATTCAGAAACTCAGCAACTGATCCACTGCTGTGTCCCCAAGGTCATGGGGTCCCCTTCTCTGACCAGCAAAGGCAATAGGGGAAGCCAGATTCACTTAACAACAGTGGCAAAAAGGTCGTAAAATGGGACAAAACTCACTTAGCAACTCTCTCGCTTAGCAACAGTGGTCATAAGTGAAGGATATTTGTAAAAGCAATCCATTCAGGCTGGACAGGGCAGTCAAAAGGCCAGATGTGGACCAGGAGCCGTAAAATGGCCAGGTCTGCCCTTGGGCGTTAATGGTTCAAGGGACCCCTCCCAACTTGAATAGAATAGACTAGACTAGACTAGACTAGACTAGAATAGAATAGACTAGACTAGAATAGAATAGAATTAAAATTAGATTAGATGAATAGAATAGAATAGAATTAAAATTAGATTAGATTAGAATAGAATAGAATTAAAATTAGATTAGATTAGAATAAAATTAAAATTAGATTAGAATAGAATAGGATAGGATAGGATAGGATAGGATAGGATAGGATAGGATAGGATAGCATAGAGCTAGAAGGGACCTTGGAGGTCTTCTAGTCCAGCCACCCCCTCAAGCAGGAGAACCTATACTATCTCAGACAAGTGACTGTGTAGCCTCTTCTTGAAAATCTCCAGTGATGGAGCGCCCACAATTTCTGGTGGCCAGCTGTTCCACTGGTTAATTGTTCTCACTGTTGGGAAGTTTCTCCTTAATTCCAGGTTGCTTCTCTCTTTGGTCAGTTTCCAACCATTGTTTCTTGTCCTTCCCTCTGGCGCTTTGGAGAATAGTTTCACCCCCTCTTCTTTGTGGCAGCCCCTCAGATACTGGAACGCTGCTGTCTTGTCTCCCCTATTTCTTCTTTTCTCTGTGACTCTGTGGACAGTATGATGAAGAGGGGCAGGATGGCTGAAGGTCTCTGACCTTTAATTGGCCGGCATCTGACAGCAATGACCTTGGAAGGAGAGTTTGATAAGCAGCAGATAATCTGAGATAATCAAACCAGGAAGAAGTGACGGGCTCGGTAGGCAGAGCGATGGCCCAAGACTAGCCGAACCAGTTCCAGAGCTGATATAAGCTTGCCTGTGTGTTTTGAAGCTTCTCCAACCTCTCACCTGCAAAAGCCTTGCTCCCGTGACCCATAATCCCCAGCCAGTAGAATCCTGACCTACCCCTGGAATTGCAGAACTTGAAATCCAGGAGATTCAGAAGACCCCAAATTGGGGAAGACCATACAGGGCAAAATGGCCATTCATCAAAAGGCTTTGAAACCAAATGCACAGCTGTAGTATAGGTGGTACCTTGCTCAATAGTAGCAACTAGGAGAGGGATCTTGGAGTCCTAGTGGACCATCCCTTCAATACGAGCCAGCCGTGCGCTGCAGCTGCCCCAAAAGCCAACACAGTGCTGGGCTGCATTAGCAGAGGGATAGAATCAAGATCACAGGAAGTGTTAATACCACTTTACAAGGCCTTGGTAGGGCCACACTTGGAATACGGCATCCAGTTTTGGTCACCACGATGTAAAAAAGATGCTGAGACTCTGGAAAGAGTGCAGAGAAGAGCAACAGAGATGATTAGGGGACTGGAGGCTAAAACATATAAGGAAAGGCTGCTGGAATTGGGGATGTCTAATTTAACAAAGAGAAGGTCGAGGGGGGACATGATAGCTGTGTTACAGTATCTCAGGGGTGCCCCAAAGAAGAGGGAGTCAAGCTATTCTCCAAGGCGCCTGAAGGCAGAACAAGAAGCAACGGATGGAAACTAATCAAGGAGAGAAGCAACCTGGAACTAAGGAGAAACTTCCTAATAGTGAGCACAATTAACCAGTGGAACAGCTTGCAACCAGAAGTTATGGGTGCTCCTTCCTTGGAGCTTTTTAAGGGGAGATTGGACAGCCATTTGCCTGAAATGGTATAAGACTTCCTGCCTGAGCAGGGGTTGGACTAGAAGACCTCCAGGGTCCCTTACAACTGTGTTATTCTGTATAATCTGGGCAGATTTTCCTGAGTTGGTTGAGAAAAAAAACTAGGTATGGACTTCAAGGGGGTACTACCAAGGCTTTTCCTGGACCCCAAGCCGGCCCAGGGTTCAGACCCAGCGCCACAAAGGGCAATTGCCCCCAGATCTCCATCCCAAAGACCCCTCCTCAAATGCCAGTTTGCCTCTTTGGTAGACAGGGAAATAATTCAGCTGCGTTGAATGCAAAGGTCCTCCAGTTACAGGACTTCACTGAGCCTGGCAAATGCAGCCGGAAGCTGTGATGGGCCTTCACTTCAGCCCTTACCTGGTGGAAGGGGTGGGAGGTGCAGTACCCTGGGGGTCCGTGGGGCTGGCAGCAGTAGGGGCCGGGCTGCTCCTCCAGGGGGGCTGTTTTCAGCCTGGCATGGGCCTCCTGTGGGGAAGAGAATGTGGGGGTCCTTGAGATCTCCCCAAAGGACAAAACCCTCTCCTGCCCAGGCCAGAGAGATGTAGGAGCCAACCTAGACCCACGTGGCAGAAACCCAGGGGCCCCGGAGCACGGATGAAGCCCACCCGGCTTCTTGGCCTCCATCACCCATCATCCCCTGCTCCTGCCCTCAATTTTAGGGTTATCTGCTATCGTATCTAGTTCATGCAGCTCTGGGGGGGGGGTTTCCTTCAATCCAGGGGGAGGGCACAGAGGGATCAGTGCCCACCCACCCACCCACCCTTGCAGACCTGTCCCTGTCTGCCACCCTGAGCATAACATTACAGGCACTCCTCGGCTTGCCATGCTTCGTTTAGTGACCGTTCGAAGTTATAACAGCACTGAAAAAAGTGACCTATGGCTGGTTTTCTCTGTTAAGAGCATCATTTTCAGGGTCACGTGATCAACATTTGGCCGCTGGGCAACTGGCTCGTATCGGTGGCTATTGCAGTGTCCCGGGGTCGTGTGATCCCCTTTCAAATTTCTGTGGCTAAGCGAGACCGTCGTTAAGTGAGTTTTGCCCCATTTGATGACTTTTATTGCAACTGGTTGTTAAGCGAATCACTGAAGTTGATAAGTGAGTAACCGGGCGTTGAGTGGATCCAGCTTGCCCCGTCAGCGCCACTTGGCAGAAGGTGGCAAAAGGGGATCACGCGACACCCCCGGGACACACTGCGACCGTCGTAACTCTGAGCCAGCGGCCAAGAATTTTGATCACGCGACCGCCGGGACACTGCAAGGGTTGTGAGAGTGAAAACCGGCCATAAGTTCACTTTTTTCAGGGCTGTTGTGACTTTGAATGGTCGGTAACAACTTTGAGCGGTAAATGAAAATATATAAAAAAGCAAGAATAAAGTGTTCAGGAAATTTAATGTAACCCTTCAGGAATGCAAACAAAACTTTGATGCAATACGGACGCCTGCCTTGGGAGGGATGGGGGTTGGGGCTGGACTAGATGACCTCTGAGGTCCCTTCCAACTCCAGGCTCCTGCCCCCCTCTCGGGTTCAGCAGTTGGGGGGGTCTTCCGGAGGGGGGAGGGGGGGAGGGAGAGACCCTGGCTGGGGGGGGGCTAGATAGTTGAGCCCCAGGCTGCGGAGGCCACTAGGAACCAAGCCCATCGTCCCCGGCGCTGGCTTTCAGCTGGCCACCCAGAGGACTCACCTGGGCCGGCGGCAGGTGGGGCTCCTGCCCGAGGCTGCTGTGCGGCGTCCCGCTGCTCCAGGCCGGATCGGGGCCCAGGTGGGGCAGCTGGGCGGGAAAGCCGTCGAAGGCGTCCTGGGCCGCGCCGGCCGGGAAGGGCTGGCCGGCCTCCCCCGCCAGGGCCAGCCGCGCCTCGGGGAAGGGCTCCGCCGGCCCCGGCCGCTGGTAGGGGTGGAAGGGGCTCCGCCGGGCGCCCCCGGGGAAGCGGCCGCAGGGCGCGGCGCCCCCGTCCTCGTAGGCGGAGCGGCGGGGGGGCTCGGCCGGCGGCGGCACCTCGTAGGCGGCCGTCTCCCGGGGAAGGTGCTGGCCGGCGGGGACGCGGGCGAAGAGCTGCTCCGGGCAGGGCGGGGAGGCGGCGGAACTGCGCGGGGATCCAGGAGGGCTTCGGTCCGCCCGGCCGTGTCCGTCGCGGGGCTGGCGGTGGAAGCCCGGATGCGCCTGTGGGGAAGAGCCGCGCTGGGGTGTGAGGGACCCCGCGAAGGGGAGGGGGAGGAGAGGAGAGGACGAGGGGGGCAGAAGGGAAGGGAGAACATAGAATGGAGTGGGGTAGAGTAGAGTAGAGTAGAGTAGAATAGAGTAGACTAGACTAGACTAGACTAGAATAGAATAGAATAGAATAGAATAGAATAGAATAGAATATAGAATAGAATAGAATAAGGAATAGAATAGAATATAGAATAGAATAAATTAAAACAAGAATAGAATATAGAATAGAATAGAATATAGAATGGAGTAGAATATAGAATAGAGTAGAATATAGAATAGAATAGAATAGAATAAATTAAAACAAGAATAGAATATAGAATAGAATAGAATAAGGAATAGAATATAGACTAGAGTAGAATATAGAATAGAATAGAATAAATTAAAACAAGAATAGAATCTAGAATAGGATAGAATAAGGAACACAATAGAATATAGAATATAGAATATAGAATAGAAATTTGGTGGGCAGCTGGAAAAAGCTTGCAGGGGGAGGGAGGTATTTCAGCTTGGCAAGGGGAAGACCCCTCCTAAACCATGCGGTCCTATCTGGCACCACCCCCACCCCTGGTTCCCAGAGGAGGGGCGGCCTCCGTCCCACCCCCTCCCCAACTACATCAGCCCTGTTGCCCTGCCCAGCTCAGCAGAAAGACGGGAGAGCTCAGCTTTTTTGGGATGGGGGGCTTCAAGGACCCCCCTTCCTTCCATCCCTGGGCTGTCTGGAAAGGAGGCCAAGCAGCGATCCTCACCTGCTGGGCAGGGGACACGGTCTCTTCGCAGGCCTGCATGGCGTTTCCACGTGGGTTGCTCTCCAGGGGATCCAGAGAAGGAAACTTGATCCTGGCTTGATCCTGGAGCAAGGAAACCATTGCAGGACTCAGCCAGGAATCTGGGGCAAGAAAAAACAGGACGGGATCAAGGAAGTAAATCACATTTTTGGGGGGGGGAAGGGCTGCTGGGTTCGAGCTCTGCTTTGAACCCCCCCCCCAATTCAAAGCAAGGCCCTTCCAGAGAAAAATATTCCTAGCACCCCCATCTCTTCATCCTCCCTCACCAACCTCTGGCAAAGCAACAGCCCAGCGCCCCTCCTTCAGGGAGATTGTGGGGGGGGGGGGTCTAGAAACATGAAATATACATAAATAAATAAAAGAGATGCCAAGATAAGCCATTTGTCACCAGCGTAGGCAGGGCTGAGTCCCAGGGCGGGCAGCAAGGAGGACGGGTCCGGAGAAGACAGGTAGCGACGGGGGTGTCGTACGGAGGAGCAACAACCGGGAGGCCCTGAGTTCTAGTCCTGCCATAAGCATGGTATGCTGGCTGGGGAATTCTGGGAGCTGATGTCCACATATCTTTAATGTTGCCACGGTTGAGAAACGCTGACTTATATGATGCCGCTGCTATAGGGCAGGGGTCCCCAACTTTGGCCACTTTATGACTTGTGGACTTCAACTCCCAGAATTCCCGAGCCAGCTATGCTGGCTCGGGAATTCTGGGAGTTGAAGTCCACAAGTCGTAAAGTGACCAAGGTTGGGGACCCCTGCTCCAGGGCAGATAAAAAGAAAAAAGAAATCCTCTGTGGAACTCCCATCCACCTGTTCATCCCCTCCCCCACATAAACACACAACAGGGGGCAACCTTCCGCTGGGCCGGGACTTTCCCCCCCCCCAACACCTGGAGAGTTGTGGGCCCGGCAAGGGAAGTGTGTGTGTGCAGGGGGGGGCGCTGCTACGAGATGGGAGCGCGAACCCTCCGCAAGGGTGCAATACGCACCGGGGAGGAGACCCCAAAGAATCCTGGCGCTCCGCTGGCTGCTGCTCCCCCGTTTCCCCCAAGGCGAACAGGGGGGGGGGCAAAAAGCCCCCCCTCCTCAGCTTCTGTAGTTCAAAGGGGGCGGCAGGCACACGCGGGGCGGGCCGAATCGGAAAACCAGAGCGACGGGGGGGGGCGCATTCCAAGCCGGCGAGGGCTGCGCGGAGCTGGCGGCGGTGCGCACACGCTTCCACTTGTCGGGGGTGGGGGGAACGAGGGGGGGGGTCGCCCCTGGATCCAGCTCCTGCCGACAAGGCTGGCGGGGATGAAAAACGCCCCCCCCCTTCCCCGGTGTCTCAAGGCAGGCCGCGGCAAGGGAGCCGAGCTCACCTGGTAGACCAGGTGAGCCAAAGCGAAGGGGGCGGGGGGGCCTAATCCAGCCCCAGGAACACAAGGGCCGATTGGAAGACACCTGTCTGCGGACCGGGGGGCGGGGGGGGCGATTTCCCCTGGGATTTCCCCTCTCCCTGCCTGGGAAGGAGATCAAAGGCGAGCGCATTTGCTATCCCGAAGGAAAAGACCCCGCCGCGAATCGTGTCCCGCTCCGGGCATCCGAGAAGCTGGAAGGGGCCTCGGAAGGAGCGGGAGGGGGCGACAACCAAGGCCCGGGAAAAGACGGGGCGGGGGGGGCTCCGGGTCCTCCACCAAGAGACACCAGGAATCGTCCGGTGGTCAGACTGGCGTTAAAACCGTTTAATGACATTAAAATGCAAAGGCTGAGCGGGTCTCTGGCCAAGACCCCCCCCCTCCCACCCTAGACAGGGATCCCGGCCTTCGGTGACCGGAGTCTGACCGGGGATGGGAGAGGGCAGGTGGACGGGGCGCCCGCTGGCCCGGGCGGCGGAGGCTCCCGGCGCCGCTGGGGGGGGCTGCAGCAGAGTCGCCCCCCCCTCCGCTTCTCGGGGCTTCAGGGCGGCTCTCTGCGCTGGGCCGGGCCGGGCCGGGGGGGGTCTCCCCGGCCCCACGGGGACCCAGACGCCCCGCTGCCCTCCCGGCCCCCTCGCCACGCCTGGAAGACCCGTTCAGAGGGGGACCCCCGCTCTTCCCGTTCCCGGTCTGGAGGAGGGACGGATACTCGGGCGGGGGGCTCCCCGGGGGCCCCTGAAGCGCCGGACGGAGCTGCAGCCTCCGGGCCCCAGCGGGCGAGCTCTGCCGCCCTTCGCCCGGGCTCCGCGTGGCTTGGCGGGCGGGGAGCGGCTCGCCGGCGCCGGGCCTGACCGCAAGAACCCGCCGCCCCGGTTGCCGGCTCGCTCGCTCGCCCGCCCGGCCTCCGGGGCTGCAGGAGCGCTCCGTCCTCGCTGCCGGCCGCCCGCGGCTGCCGTCCGTGTCAAGAGCGGGCGGCGCCTTTCACCCGTCGGAGCCGTCCGGACCGCCTGCGCCGCGGTCCCGCTTGGCCCGCGCGTCTCCCCTTCCAGCCCCCTCCTGACCCAGAGAGGGGGGGCAGAAAACGGGGGCGGACCGGAGAGCCCCCCTCGAAGAGGCCCCGAACTTGTGACGTTGCCGTTACTGTGATTGTGACTGCACAATTAGAAGTTCTGTAGCCCCTTTTCACGCACAGCTCACCAAAATGGGGTCCCTTTTAAGAAAGCTGTCGAGGGGCCACCTTTGGCTTTTTGGCTATCCTAGACTGACATAACTCTCCTACAATATGATAATCCTGTTGTTGTCGTTGCTGTTGTCACTGTCATTGTTGTTATGGGCTCCAGTTGCTCCCCCCCCCCCAGAATCCCTTTGCCTCAGTCCAGATGGTCTCCATACTTGTAGGGCCCCAAATGTCCAGCTAGGGACTCCTAATCAGGTTCCACTGATTTGGCCAAGGGGGGGAGGGGTCTCCTTCCTGCTTCCTCCCCACAAGGGGCAGCTGGAAGAATAAATAGTCCAGTGGTTCTCAACCTGTGGGTTGGGACCCCATTTGGGGTCGAACAACCATTTCACGGGGGTCACCAAACAACGCAGTCCACCATTTTCCCCCCCCCTTTTCCTTAGCTGTGCTACTCCCTTTTATTCTACTGGCTTTTGAAAGCCAATAGAATAGACTCTCTTGAATAGAGTCTAATTCTATTGGCTTTCCAAAGCCAATAGGAATTGTCCAGGCTGTCTCTGCCCTGCTGAGCCCACCAAAAGTCCCATTCTGCAAACGGTGCTGCACCGGTTGAGTAGTCCTCGACTTACGACCGGTTGAGTAGTCCTCGACTTACAATCGGTTGGGGGTCGCGGCATTAAAAAGGTTGAGAACCACTGAATTAGAGTAATATTTTTATCGTCACTTTGAATGTACCCTAATCGGCATACATTAAAATGAAATTTCGTTGCATTCAGTTCTCAAAGGCTCACCCCTCCAATATACACCACATAGCTATGACAATAAATAAAGAAGGAAGGAAGGAAGGAAGGAAGGAAGGAAGGAAGGAAGGAAGGAAGGAAGGAAAGAAAGAAAGAAAGAAAGAAAGAAAGAAAGAAAGAAAGAAAGAAAGAAAGAAAGAATTATGCATATACCACATCTATGCCCACACTGGGAGATAAATGCCAGCAGGGTCAGGTACCCTGAAGGCAAGGGAGGGGCACAGCTGCAGACCCCAGGAAGGCCCAGCTTGCCGTTTCTACCAAAGAAAATGGTGGCATCTGGTTGCCCCCCCCCCAGCCTTCCCCCCAAAGCTCTGCAGTTGGAAAGTGTGAAGGGGGGAAACGGGGGTTTGGTCAGGGCTGTCACTGGTGCCCCCCAGGATTGAAGGGTGCCCATTGGTTGCTTCCTGTAGGGAAGTCTGGCACAGAACGGCACCGTTCACGCCACAAACTTCTGAAACGAATCTGGGGTGCCGGAACTGCAGCCCCTAAAGCCGCGGAAGGACAAGGAATAAGGCCGACGCTGGTCAAGCTTAGCAAGGTGTGTGTGTGAATGTGGCCCTGGGACCAGGGTCTTCGCTGTGGGATGCTGGGAAGAGGAGTGCAAAGGGGGCCACTGAAAGGGGGGGGCTTTGTGTGCATTTTAGGGGCACACACACGCTCCCGTTCCCAATAAACGTGGAGCATTCAAAGTTACAACATTACTGGAAAAAGGGGCTGATGACCGTTTTTCACACTTGTGACCGTGGCAGCCTCCCCCGGTTATGTGATTTATACTGGGGCGCTTGACAAGTGGTACCTATTTAGGACGGTTGCGCAGGGTCTCCGGGGGGATCACAGGATCCCCTTTTGCCACTTTCTGACAAGCAAAGTCCATGGGGAAGCCGGATTCACTTCATAACCGTGTGACTAATTTAACGATGGCAATGTTTTGCTTAATAACGATGGGAAAGAAAAGTCGTAAAATGGGCCAAAACTCACTTAACAAATCTCTCCCTTAGCAACAAAAATTTTGGGATCGATTGTGGTTGTAAGTTGAGGACTAGAAGCAAAAGTGTAGTAACAGTTATCCAGGAGAGAAAATGGTTCTCCTGCTGGAGCAGGGGGGTTGGACTAGAAGACCTCCAAAGTCCCTTCCAGCTTCTATTCTATTCTATTCTATTCTATTCTATTCTATTCTATTCTATTCCATATTCTATTCTATATGCTATTCTATTCTATTTTCCTATTCTATTCTATTCCTTATTTTACTTCTATTCTATTCTATTCTATTCTATTCTATTCTATTCTATTCTATTCTATTCTATTCTATTCTATTCTATTTTCCTATTAAATTCTATTCCTTATTTTAATTCCATTCTATTCTATTCTATTCTATTCTATTCTATTCTATTCTATTCTATTCTATTCTATTCTATTCTATTCTATTTTCCTATTCTATTCTATTCCTTATTTTAATTCTATTCTATTCTATTCTATTCTATTCTATTCTATTTTCCTATTCTATTCTATTTTCCTATTCTATTCCTTATTTTAATTATATTCTGTTCTGTTCTATTCTATTCTATTCTATTCTATTCTATTCTACTCTACTCTACTCTACTCTACTCTACTCTACTCTACTCTACTCTACTCTACTCTACTCTATTCTATTCTATTCTATTCTATTCTATTCTATTCTAATTTCTAGCTGCCAGCAGCTATCCCACCTGGGGTGGGGTCTGGTCATTCTTTATCCTTCACCTCCTCCCTTTCAAGGGGGGAGCTTCTGTCCAGTTTAATGTCATCCCACAGAGACACAAGACGGTTTTTCAAAAGACAGCTGAACTTCGTTGGTTTTTTCCTTGAAAACATTTCACTTCTCATTAAACCTTTCCATTCCCCACCATTCAGTCAGAACTGAAGAAGCTTCTTGGATGAGAAGTGAAATGTTTTCAAGGAAAAAAACCAAGAATGTCCAGTTCGAAAAAAAGCATCTTTGGGGACAATGGTGACTCGGAGGATGTAGAATTTCCATAGACATCCTAGAGAGAAAATGGCTGGCCTAATTTCTAACTGCCGTTCAATTTCCAGGTCCTTTTCTGCTCTCACGTCTGGCAGAATATAACAGAATACTATAACAGAGCTGGAAGGGACCTTGGGAGGTCTTCTAGTCTAACCCCCTGCTCAGGTAGGAAACACTATACCAGGGGTAGGCAACCTTGGCTCTTTTATGATTCGTGGACTTCAACTCCCAGAATTCCTGAGCCAGCATGGGGGAACTATGGTCCCCCCATGACTGGTGGACTTCAACTCCCAGAATTCCTGAGCCAGCATGGGGGAACTATGGCCCCCTTTATGACTTGGGGACTTCAACTCCCAGAATTCCTGAGCCAGCATGGGGGAACTATGGCCCCTTCATGACTGGTGGACTTCAACTCCCAGAATTCTTGAGCCAGCATGTGGGAATTATACCCCCCCCCTCATGACTCATGGACTTCAACTCCCAGAATTCCTGACCCAGCATGGCTCAGCTTGGAAACCTCTCCCTTCCCCCTCAGCATGGCTGGCTCAGGAATTCTGGGAGTTGAAGTCCACGAGTCATAAAAGAGCCAAGGTTGCCTACCCCTGCATTATACCATTTCACACAATTTATCCCCTTAAAAACGTCCAGTGTTGGAGCATTCACAATTTCTGGAGGCAAGTTGAGCATTATTTATCCTTGGACATACTCCCCCTCCCAAGAGTTGGAAGGGACCTTGGAGGTCTTCTAGTCCAACCCCCCCTGCTTGAGCAGGAGATCTTACTCCGGGGGTCTACAACGTTGGAACATTTAAGACTTGTGGATTTCACCTCCCCCAGTTGAAGGGGGAGCATTTTTTGCTAAAATGAGCAGGCAGTGAGTGGGTGGCCCCCAAAGGCCCCACCTTCTGACTCATCCCTGGGATGTTTCTTTGGAACAGGAGCTGGACACCCAACTCTGCCCGCGGAGATGCCCCGAGGGAGGGACTGGCTCTGCAAGGTTTGATCCTGCAGGGGTGGATGTAGCCCCTGCAGGCAGCCGGCCTCACGCCCATTTTCTGCAGAAGGGAGGATGCGTTGATAAGGAGGCCACCAACTGCTGCCCAGAACTGCACAGCAAGGAGAGGGCCACGCCTGGGCCCTATCTGGGCCCCAGATCTGCACACCTCAGGGAAAACATCTGCCCAGCTGTGGCACTGCGGCATCCCTTCTTGTTCCCCTGGGGTCTTCACTGCTCTGACACCACCCCCACCCCTCCACATGCCATGTGAGCACAAGAGAAGACCTTGACCATTTGGCCAGGCCTGGAAGAAAATCTTTGAAGCTTCTTGCCCACGAAGGCCAAACATCTGGAGGACCCAGCTGCAAAAAGCCAGGCCAGTCTTTGAGCAGGAGTTGGGTGGGATATGGGCAGGGAGCATCATAGAGAATAACAGAGTGGGAAGGGATCTTGGCGGTCTTCTAGTCCAACCCTGTGCTCTAGGGGTGTCCAACCTTGCAAGTTTTGTGGACTTCAACTCCCAGAATTCCCCAGCCAGCATAGCTGGCTGGGGAATTCTGGGAGTTGAAGTCCACAAGTCTTAAAGTTCGCAAGGTTACCCTTACGCTATGCTGGGAGTTGAAGTCCATGAATCATAAAAGAGCCAAGGTTGCCTACCCCTGCGCTATACCATTCCAGACAAGTGGCTGTCCAGTCTCTTCTTAAAAACCTCCAGAGATGGAGCACCCACAACTTCTGGTGGCAAGCTGTTCCATTGCTTAATTTTGCTTAAGTCTACATTTAAACAGCCAGCAAATCTCAAAGAATCTGGACAGAAGCAAGTCAGCTTGTTTAGTCGCAACTGATCAGAAGGCCCCTGGACCTCCCGCCATTCCAGCTGCTTCTTCTGTCTCTCTGGTTACACTCCCCCCCCCCAAAAAAACCCCCAGAAACCCCCCTGAGATCAGAGAGACGGAAGGAAGATCTTCGCAAAGCCCCCAGGACGAGAGGGGGGTAAGAGCCACCAGCCCTGGGGTAAGAAATTCCTAATTGTGGTGGGCAAGCAAGGGAAGACTTAGGTTGCCCCTTGCACCCTTCATTGCTGTGGGCACCTGTGCCAAAGCATCGCTGTCCCAGCAGGTGACAGACGTGGCCTTCAGAAGTGGAGAAAAACTCAAGGTTTACGCAGATTCGCCGTCCTTCAGGGGTGCTTCTCTAAAAGGCAACTGGAATTTTGGGGTTTTCTTCCTTGAAAGAAGAAGAACCAAAGAAGCTTCCCAAATTCCAGTATCTCAGGGGCTGCCCCAAAGAAGAGGGAGTCAAGCTAGTCTCCAAAGCCCCTGAAGGCAGGACAAGAAGCAACGGATGGAAACTGATCCAGGAGAGAAGCAACCTAGAACTAAGGAGAAACTTCCTGACAGTGAGAACAATTAACCAGTGGAACAACCTGCCTCCAGAAGTTGTGAATGTTCCAACACTGGAAGTTTTTAAGAAGAGACTGGACAGCCATTTATCTGAAATGGCAGGAGGGTCTCCAGCTTGAGCAGGGGGCTAGACTAGAAGACCTCCAAGGTCTCTTACAGCTGTATTCTATTGATTGATTGAGAAATGAAATGTTTTCAAAAGGAAAAAAAAACACGTCCAAATGACCTTTTGGAAAAAGCACCTTTGGGACAAGAAAACTGGCGGTGTCCTGGCTGGAGACTCACTTGGGGCAGCCCTGGACCAAAGCTGGCGGAGTCTCTCCCTGCCCTATTGAGTTGGGGGTTGCTGGGTCTTGCTTTTTTGCAGGGGGGCTCCTGAGTGTGGCCAGGGGGGGTCAGTGCAGGGGGTCAGAGACGGTGGGGGAGAACTGGGGGTTTGTTCCTACTCACCAATCTATTTCTAGCTGTGCTGTGAAGCTGAGCCCACCGTAAACCCCAGGGCCTTCAGTGTCCCAATAAATAGGGCAGGGAGAGACCCCCGCCGGGCCTGGTCCAGGGCTGCCCCGAGTGGCTCTCCAGCCAGGACACCCCCTGCCCCGCAGCCGCCGTGGGTGTCGTGCCCGCCGTTGTTTTCCTGCGCTGCCGTAGCTGCTGGGCTGATGCCATGTTCCTCCTTTTACAAAAAGGCGTGTGGGTGACCCGCCCAGGTGGTTTCTGTTCCTGGCTTGTTCCAGGCTGGGCGTGGGGCCTTTGCTGCCTTCTCTGGGGAGCCCCACCCGTGGCCACTCCTTCCCTCCCACCGGGAATCGCCCACAAGGAGCTTTGTAATTACCTTCATTTGATCTGTGGGGCGGATTTGGGAACTTTATGGGCAAGGAGCTGAGTAGGTAGAAAACCTGGACGGCTGATTCAGGGAGCAGCAGACGGTGGGGTGGGGTGGGGTGGGGGGTGCCCAGCCAGGAAGACGGAGCCTTGCAGCCCAGTCTCTAGGGAGGGAAGGCTTGAGCGTATGAAGGACAGGGAGCCTTTGAGCGTGTACAGAATGCTTCTCTCCCTTAGCCCACCACTACTACGAGGTAAACCAAGCACCCAGTACGTGCAATGATGAAGTGGGCCAGCTGGGATGGAGTAAAAACATTACTGCTTATAAAGATTTTTTTGTACCTTAAGGTTGAACTGTGGGGTCTTCGGTGCTCTCCGAGCTTGGCTGTTTTCTTGCAGACGTTTTATGACCCAAACTGGTCAACATCATCAGTGCTAGAAGCGGGGTGCATTTGCAGAGAGGAGGAGGAGGAGGAGGAGGAGGAGGAGGAGGAGGAGCTGGTGGAGGAAGAAGAGGAGAAGGAGGAGGAAGAGGAGGAAGATTGTGGGGTCCTTGCTGCTCTCTGAATTGGGTGGTTTTCTTGCAGAAGTTTCATGACCCAAAAATTAACATCTTCAACGCTACAAGGAAATGAGGTTGTGGAAAGGAGGAGGAGGAAGAGGAGGAGGAGGAGGAGGAGGAGGAGCATAATGACTATGGGGTCCTCTGAGTTTGGCTGTTTCATTGTCCAAACTAGAGAACATCATCAGTGTTATTCCTAGTTTGGGTCATGAAACGTCTGCAAGAAAACAGCCAAGCTCAGAGCACCAAGGACCCCCCATTACTACTTAACGCTGCCCCAGTTGCCCCATTGGCCCCTGCCTTGGGGGGAGGGGGGCAGAGGCCGAGCTGAAAGCCTCTGCTGATCCGTTGCCCCACAGATAAAAGCCAGGCTGCCCATTTTGTCTGCTGCCAAAGAGAGCCTTCAAGCCCTCCAGAGATCTGCAATGGGGAGGGGAGGGCTACGCTCATCCCCTGCCAGGGGGTCACCAGCTGAGCTGTGGGCAGAAAGGAAGGCTGCCAAGACTGGCAGGAGCCTCGGAGGCTGCTTCAGAGGAAGAGGAAGCCACTCCTCACTCGAGACCACAAAGTCTTTGCTCCTCCATCAGTCTTTCTGACTGGCATCCACCCTAAGCATCCTTGCCCTTCCCCGGAGCTCTGAGTCTACTTCCCATCTCTGTCTCTCAGAACCAAACCCACCCCAGGTGCCTCCTGGTTCCTGGATGTGCTGGAACTGCCAGGGAGGACCCCAGAGTCTGGGGTCTGGTGGGCCACACCAACCTCCTCCTCCATCTGCTCTCAGATCAGCCTCATATGGGTAGAATCCCCTCCTAGCCGTTGCAGCTGTGACAGAGGATACTTGGGCCACCCCCGTGCCGCCAGGGCCAGCCATGGCGCATACGTCCAGACCCCCATTTGGAGAATGAGAGAGGGGGCAGAACAGCAGACCAGGAGCCCTGGGTTACAACAGTTCATAAAAGGAGACAAAACTCAATGTATTACTTAGCAGCAGAAATTTTGGGCTCAGTCAAGTCAAGTTAATGGTTCAAGGGTCCCCTCCCAATTCTAGAATAGAATAGAACAGGGTAGGATAGAATAGAGTAGAGTAGAGTAGAATAGAATAGAATAGAATAGAATAGAATAGAATAGAATAGAATAGAATAGAATAGAATAGAATAGAATAGAATAGAATGGAGAAATGTAGAGTAGAGTAGAGTAGAATAGAAGAAGTGAAGAATAGAATAGAATAGAATAGAACAGAACAGAACAGAATAGAATAGAATAGAATAGAATAGAATGGAGAAATGTAGAGTATAGAGAAGAAGTGAAGAATGGAATGGAATGGAATGGAATGGAATGGAATGGAATAGAATAGAATAGAATAGAACAGAACAGAACACAACAGAACACAACAGAACAGAAGAATAAATGGAATGGAATGGAATGGAATAGAATAGAATAGAATAGAATAGAATAGAATAGAATAGAATAGAATAGAATAGAATAGAATAGAATAGAATAGAATGGAGAAATATATAGAGTAGAGTAGAGTAGAGTAGAGTAGAGTAGAGTAGAATAGAAGAAGTGAAGAATGGAATGGAATGGAATAGAATAGAATATAGAATAGAATGGAATAGAATAGAATAGAATATAGAATAGAATGGAATAGAATAGAATAGAATAGAATAGAATAGAATAGAATAGAATAGAATAGAATAGAATAGAATAGAACAGAATGGAGAAATATAGAGTAGAGTAGAGTAGAGTAGAGTAGAGTAGAGTAGAGTAGAGTAGAGTAGAGTAGAGTAGAGTAGAAGAAGTGAAGAATGGAATGGAATGGAATGGAATGGAATAGAATAGAATATAGAATATAGAATAGAATAGAATAGAATAGAATAGAATAGAATAGAATAGAACAGAATGGAGAAATATAGAGTAGAGTAGAGTAGAGTAGAGTAGAGTAGAGTAGAGTAGAGTAGAGTAGAGTAGAGTAGAGTAGAGTAGAGTAGAATAGAAGAAGTGAAGAATGGAATGGAATGGAATAGAATAGAATAGAATAGTAGAGACCCTCTACCATTCCAGACACATGATTGTCCAGTGTCTTCTTAAAAGCCTCCAGTGATGGAGCACCCACAACTTCTGGTGGCAAGCTGTTCCACTGATTAATTGTTCTCACTCTCAGGAAAATTCTCCTTAGTTCTAGGCCTGTTCTCTCCTTGATTAGCCTCCATCCGTGGCTGGGTAGTGTCATCAAATCAGGGGTTTGGGCAAACTCCGGGAGACAGGGGAGGGCAGGGGAGCCTGGCATACTGGGGTCCATGGGGGTCACAAAGACTCGGACGTGACTTAGTGACCAAACAAGCCGATCACACACTTGCCGTTGCCTCTGATTGCGGTCAAGGCTTCCAGGGCACTCAAAGAGAAGAGCTGGTTTCAGAGAAGGTGTCTTTGCGTCCCCCAAAGAACCCGAAACCCTGCTGAGGAGCCCCCCCTCCCTTCTCCTCTTGCATACCTGGTTCCGCAAGTGCAAGAAGACAAAAACCGCAAAGTGTCGGTCCGGCACGCACCATTAGCAAGGAACAAGACCTCACCACAGGGAAAGGCTGGCAACCGGTTGAGGGAGGAAGCGCAGCCAAAGGACGGTGTCGGTCCCACCGGGGTCCCTGCCAGCGTCTGCTTGCCGTGCAAACGGTTCAGCTGCACAGAACAGGCACCGATGATGCTTTTGTGCGGTGCGTGGCACCCCCCCTGGACTCCCCCCGACCTCATTTCCACGGCTCCTGCCTCCCATCTCCCTGTAGAGCATCTGACACCGAAGCTCCTTTCCAAACAAGCTGACATCACCACAGGTCTGATCACCAGGAGCTGGTGCTCCTTCTGGATTAGAATTAGAATAACAGAGTTGGAAGGGATCTTGGAGGTCATCTAGTCCAACCCCCTGCCTAAGCAGGAGACCCTACGCCATTTCTGACCGGTGGCAGTCCAGTCTCTTCTTGAAGGCTTCCAGGGATGAAGCACCCACAACCTCTGAAGGCAACTCCTGTTCCACTGGTTGATTGTTCTCACTGTCAGGAAATTTCCTCTTAATTCCAGGTTGAATCTCTCCTTGATCAGTTTTCATCCATTATTCCTCATCTGGCCTTCAGGTGCTTTGGAGAATAGGTTGTCCCCCTCCTCAAATATTGGAACACAGCTATCATGTCTCCCCTGGTCCTTCTCTTCCCATGCCCAGTTCCTGCAACCGTCCTTCATTTGCTTTAGCCTTCAGGCCCCTGATCATCTCTGTTGCTCTTCTCTGCACTCTTTCTAGAGTCTCAACATCTTTTTCATAGTGTGGAAACCACACTATGTTCTAGGTCTGGTCTTACTAAGGCTTACTAAGGCCAGTGCAGAGGGGTCCTTGTGGTGGGAGTCCCTTCTGTCCAGGGCTGGAGTTGCGTCTGGACTGAATGGAGACCCTCTCATCCAGTTTGGAGCATAGAAAGAGGCACCATAGAATCGGAATAACAGAAGCTGGAAGGGACCTTGGAGGTCTTCTTGTCCACCCCCCTACACCAGGGGTGCCCAACCTTGGGATCTGAAGACTTGTGGACTTCAACTCCCAGAATTCCCTAGCCAGCATGGCTGACTTGTAGAATTCTGGGAGCTGAAATCCACAAGTCTTGAAGTTCCCAATGTTGGACACCCGTAACTTATATCAGCTGTCCAGTCTCTTCTTGGAAGCCTCCAACGTTGGAGCACCCACAACTTATGGTGGCCAGCTGTTCCACTGGTTAATTGTCCTCACTGTCAGGAAATTCCTCCTTAGGTCCAGGTTGCTTCCCTCCTTGATGAGTTTCCATCTGTTGCTTCTTGTTCTGCCTTCAGGTCCTTTGGAGAATAGCTTGACTGCCTCTTCTTTGGGGCAGCCCCTGAGATATTGGAACTTTGCTGTCATGATCCTCCTCATTGACCTTCTTAGAGCCGGTTCTGGTTTCTCTGGGTCCTGCCTGAACTGGACACTGCTGTCCAGCAAAGGCCAGAGGGGAATTGCCCTGGAGGCCTGTCAGGGAAGCCCCAGGGCTGGCTCCCTGCTCCTTCCCCCCTCCTTTCGGGCCTCAGTTTCTCCTGGGGAGGAATGGAAGGAGAGAAGGGCCCCAACGCCAGCATCCTGGAAGTCTGGCCGGACGGGTGAGTAAGCGGAGGCAGGCTTCCTCCCTCCAGATACTCACTAGAGGGAAGCTGGTGACTTCAAAGCACACTCAGCTTTATTTTTTTCCCTCTTTTTAATGACGGAAACACCTCTGCCACCGCCGTTGCTGTCACTGCCAAAATAAACCCAAGCCATCAACAGGAGACTGGCAGAAGGAGTTTCCTTGGCCCCAGGGCATCCGT